ACTAAATTGTTGTCTACTCCATTGAAATAAATCTACACACAAAAGTGTTATTTAAACAAGAGTCTTATAAGAATCTCAAGACTTTAAAAATCATTGCCACATCTTTTGAAAATCACCTTCAAAGAAATGCCTGTAATTATAATTCATTTCTCTCCTTGATAATTCATTGCCTTGTTGATTTTTCTGTATTACTAAATGGAAAGACAAGTAAGCCCTGTCAAGACAATAGTCTCAGGGGCATGTTGCTCTTCTTCCAAATGAATAGTGGAAAAAATCATAAAAACCTATGATGTGCTTGGTTTCTTATTTTAACAAAGAGATTGAGAATTTTGTCTTATTTAAATTAGCATATCTATCAAATACAGTTTGTAGACTTGTAGTTTGCAGATTTGAATTCTGATTTAAAAAAACTGACAAAAAGAGCATATTTGAGATGATTGAGGAAATTTGGATACTGGCTGGATATTAGATGGTATCAAGAAAGTACTGTTAGTTTTCTTGGGATGACACTGCTTTGGTGGTTATATATTTTTTTAAAAGATTCTCATCTGATAAAGATAGCTATGTACTGAAATATTTTTGGATTAAAAAGATGAGTTCACAAGAGAAGTCACTCAGTAAAATTTAACTATTACTTTATAGCTACTATTATTTAAAGATTTTTTTTAGTATAGTCGACACACAATGTTATACTTGTTTCAGGCGTACAACAGAGTGATTCAGCTTCTCGCTGTGTTATGCTGGGCTCACCACAAGTGTAGCTACCATCTGTCCCCATACAACACTATCACAGTGTCATGGACTATGTTCCTATGCTGCCTTTTATTCCTGTGACTTATTCATTCCATAGCTGGAAGCCTGTATCTCCCTCTCCCCTTCACCCATTTTGCCCATCCCTACCCCCTTTCTTTCTGGCAACCATCAGTTTTTCTATATTTATAGGTTTGATTCTGCTTTTTGTTTATTCATTTGTTTTTTAAATTCCACGTATGAATGAAATCATACAGTATTTGTCATTTGTCTTTCTCAATCTGACTTACTTTACTTAGCATAATACCCTCTAGGTCCATCCATGTTGCTGCAAATGACAAGATCTCATCCTTTTTGTGGCTGCATAATATTCCTGTGTGTGTGTGTGTGTGTGTGTGTGTGTGTGTGTATTACTTCTTCCTTATCCATTCATCTACTGATGGACTTAGGTTGCTTCCATATCTTGACTATTGTAAATAATGCTGCAATGAACATAACGATGTATATATCTTTTTGAGTTAAAGTTTTCATTTTCTTGGATAAACACCCAGTAGTGGAATTATTGGATCATAAAGTATTTCTATTTTTTTTAAAGATTTTATTTATTTGACAGAGACACAGCGAGAGAGGGAACACAAGCAGGGGAGTGGGAGAGGGAGAAGCAGGCTTCCCACTGAGCAGGGAGCCCGATGCGGGGCTCGATCCCGGGACTCCAGGATCATGACCTCAGCCGAAGGCAGACGCTTAACTGACTGAGCCACCCAGGCACCCAAGTATTTCTATTTTTAATTTTTTGAGGACCCTCCATACTGTGGCCGTACCGGTTTGCATTCCCACCAACAGTGCAAGAGGGTTCCCTTTTCTCCACCCTTGTCAACACTTTTATTTCTCTCTCTCTTTTTTTTTAAATTTTAACCATTCTGACAGGTACCTCATTGTGGTTTTGATTTGCATTTCCCTGATGATTAGTGATGTTGATCATCTTTTCATGTGTCTGTTGGCCATCTGTATGTCTTCTTTGGAAGAACATCTATTCAGATCATCTGCCCTTTTTTTTTTTATTGGATTGTTTGTGTTTTTTCTGGTGTTGTGTTGTATAATTCTTTATATACTTTGAGTATTAACTCCTTATCTGATATATCATTTGCAAATCTTTTCTCCCATTCAGTAGGTTGCCTTTTTGTCTTGTTGATGGTTTCCTTTGCTGTGCAAAAGCTCTTTATCTTTATTTTGATGTAGTTTCAATAGTTTATTTTAGCCTTTTTCCTTTGCCTTAGGAGACATATCTAGAAAAATGCTGCTATGACTGATGTCAGGGAAATTACTGCCTGTGTTTTTTTCCAGGATTTTTATGGTTTCAAGTCTCTTAGATCAGGAACAAGACAAGGATGTCCATTTTCACCACTTCTATTCAACATTGTGCTAGAAGTCCTAACCATAGCAAACAGACAAGAAACAGAAATAAGAGGCACCTAACTGGTAAGGAAGAAGTTAAATTTTCACTATTTGCAGATGACATGATATTGCATATAGAAAACCCTAAAGACTCCACCAAAAAACTATTAGAAGTAATAAATGAATTCAGTAAAGTTGCAGGATGTAAAATTAATATCCAAAGATTGGTAGCATTTCTATATACATTAATGACAAAGTAGCAGAAAGAGAAAACAAAGAAAACAATCCATTTAGAATTGCGCCAAAAAGAATAAAATACCTAGGAATAAATTTAATCAAGGAGGTGAAAGACCTGTACCCTGAAAACTATAAAACATTGATGAAAGAAGTTGAAGAAATGGAAAGGCATTCCATGCTTATGGATTAGAAGAATTAATACTGATAAAATGTCCATACTACCCAAAGCAATCTACAGATTCAGTGTGATCCCTATCAAACCATCAACAGCATTTTTCACAGAACCAGAACAAATAATACTAAAATTTAAATGGAACCACAAAGACCCCAAAATAGCCAAAGCAATAAATCTACTATCAGGCATAAGCATGACCCTGATCCACTTCTCTAACCCTAAAGGCAACCATAATCTGGTACAAGTCCATTTCTTTTTTACGATTTTTTTTTTTTTTACTTGAGACAAAGAAGAGCCCACGCGAGCACATGAGCCAGGGAGAGGCAGAGGCAGAGGGAGAAGCAGATTCCCCGCTCAGTGGGGAGACCAACACTGGGCTCAATCCCAGGACCCTGAGATCATGATCTGAGCTGAAGGCAGACACTTAACCGACTGAGCCACCTAGGTGCCCTGGAAACTTTCCTTTTTAAACACTGGTAAACTACACATAACATGTACCATCTTAACCATTTTTAGATGCATGGTTCCGCAATGTTAAGTACATTGACACTGTTGTGCCGCCGCCACCACCATCCACAGAGCTCCTCATCCTGCACATCTGTGCCCATTAAACCAGGACTTCCCCTCCTCCAGCCCCTGGCTCCACCATCTACCTTCTGTCTCTATAAATCTGACTGCTCTAGGGAACTCATAGAAGTGACTCATACAGTATTTGTCTTTTTGTGTCTGGCTCATTTCATTGAGCGTAATGTCCTTGAGGTTCACCCACACTGTGGCAGGTGTCAGAATGTCCTTCCTTTCGGAGGCTGAATAATATTCCATTGTGTCTACAGACCACATTTTGTCTGTTCATTTGTCAATGGACACTTGGGTTGTTTCCACGTCATCTACTGTGAATAATGCTCATGAGAACATGGATGTACAAGTATCTCTTCAAGACTCTATTTTCAATTCTTCTGAAAATATAGCCATAAGTGGAATTGCTGGATGGCAATTAATTTGATTCAGTTTTTGAGCCTCTATGCAACTCCAGAGTCAGGGGATGTGACTTTGCTTCTTGGCGCCCCACTAAAGGCACACACGTGCTTGTTTTTCAGTTTCCATAACCGTATCAACATTTCTCGTCCTACATTTGCTCCTCTCTCATTGCCTTTTTTCCTTCTTAGCTTATGTCGTCCTAATAAATCCCCTAATTGTCTTTCAATGAGGTTTTGGAAAGAAATGTATATGTCCCATCTGCATGTTTATGTGGAAGTCCTTATATCTGTCCCTAAATTCAGCAGTCCCAAATTCTAAGCTTTACAAGAGTTCACTCCTCTTTTAAACTTTGAGTTTTTTGCATCCCACAGCACCTCACTTAAAATTTCTAAAGGCTTAAATTTCAATAACATTTAAAGGGATAAATTAACATATCAATTTTAGCCAATTTAGAAAACACAGATAAGCAAAAGGAACAAAAAATATTGAGCACAATTCTACTACTCAGAGAATAACACTGTAAATAAACTAGATTTACCTTCTAGATTTTTCCATGTGCACATCAGCCCCTGCCTGGGTTGTCTCTTGTTCTGTCTACACCTCAACAAGATGTGGAACACAGCTCCCTAAGTTCTCCTGAAGAGCCTCCTTCCGCCAGAGATCTAATGACAGGAGATTTCACAGAAGAGATTACACCGAGGAGATAGTTCACATTGCGTCCCCACAACAAACCACTTACAAACCCACCACAGACATTTCTCTTCTTCAAATTCCTTTTCTGCTATGCTGCCTGCCAGTGAGGGTTCTTCTGTCTTACCTTCTCTTTATAGGGCCTGCTGTCTCATTCTCCCAGACCCCACCACTCCGATGCCCTATGACTTCCCACCTCTTTGCCCTCAGCTCTGACCCCATTCCTGCCCTCAGCATCCCTGGGACATAACCCAGAAGTTGTGCACGTCACTTCACTCACATCCTGTGACCAAAAGGACCCACAGTTCCCTGAGGGAGAGAAATGTTGTGGGTTTTTTTTAAAAGATTTTATTTTATTTGAGGGGGTGGGCAGAGGAAGAGGGAGAGAATCAGACTCCCCATGGAGTGCAGAGCCCAATGTGGGGCTCCATCTCATGACCCTGAAATCACGACCTGAGCGGAACCCAAGAGTCAGATGCTCAACCAACTGAGCCACCCAGGCGCCCCTAGAGAAATGTATTCTTATTCTGGATCGCTGGGAGCCCAGGTATTTGCTGTCACAGTGCAGAAGGGGATGATGGTGATTGAAGTCCAGTTAGCAGGGTCTCGCATGCTCTGCATATTCACGGCTATGCCTTAGAAGTGGGTGGCTGACCTCTGGACTGTTGGGAGGACTCAGTGCATCAAGCTCGTGGGAAGTGGTTTGAGAGTGTGTTGCAACAGTCATTTCCTGATAGAGACTAGAAGACAGAAACTCTGGGTATGCCAGGGGCAAAGCTGTTCCTGCACGTCCTGGAGTCAAGAGGACATCTTGGCTTCTCACCAACAACAAGACTGAAGGAAGATCCTTGGAAGAGGCTTGTGGGTGCCACCATGATGCCCCAACTCTTGGCTCTGCTCTGCACTGGTAAGTCATGGAGGAGGGCAGCCACTGGATGGGTGGGGTTGGCTGCGGCAGCAGCTGAAGTTGGTGGGGACTGTGGGGCGGGTAATGGCATGGGGTGAATAAACACAGACTAGAACCTTCCATTTCCTGAATACAAATTATGTACAAGGGACATGTTGGGTGCTTTACACACATTTTCCTGTTTCCCCAAACTCAGTCATCCCTGAACTTCCCCATGACATTTTTCCCTACGTACGTGACATTTGTATTCTTTCCTATGTGATCTTCCTCTTCAAATTCCCCAGGTTTTTGTATTATTATTTTTGTACTCAACTCTATTTTAAAAGAAAATCTGTAAAATACTTCTATTAATGGAAAATCAGTGTCCCTCATCAAAAACAGACCCTGTTCACCTCTGGGCCACAGTTTCCCCAGGTCCTGTTTCCGAGAGGTAGCAGTGAATGCAGGAAGCCGGCTTCAATCTAGCATTTGGCTGTGGTATTCTTCCATGGGATCCAAGACAGTGCCAAGAACTGAGAAGACAGACTTTCTCACACAGGCTCAGTGACACTTCCTCTCCTGTCATTGACCTGAAGTCATCTTACATCTTTTAGAGAAAGTCTCCCAAATAATTCTCTTCCCCATACTGCATTCAAGGAATCTGAAAGTCACAGCTGAAGTACATGCCAAGGTCACTCTGCTGCTAAGCAGAGAAGGTGAATTCAAATTCTGGTCTGTACAATGCCAAAGACCATAATTTTCCATTGGGCCATATGAAGGAATTAAAAGGTCCTAATTTGGGGGTCAGGGGGTGGAAATGTCTGGAGGGTGGATGAAGGGAGTCATGGTTAGAAAAACCTCAAGAGGGCGCCTGGGTGGCTCAGTTGGTTAAGCAACTGCCTTCGGCTCAGGTCATGATCCTGGAGTCCTGGAATCGAGTCCCGCATCGGGCTCCCTGCTCAGCAGGGAGCCTGCTTCTCCCTCCAGCCCTCCCCCTTCTCATGTACTCTCTCTCTCTCTCTCATTCTCACTCTCTCAAAATAAATAAATAAATCTTAAAAAAAAAAAAAGAAAAGAAAAACCTCAAGAAGGGAAATGAGCAGTGGATCCAATGATCTTAGTAGGTGCCAGCAACCTTCTCCTGTAAAGGGCCTGATACACAGGCTCTGGGGGTTGCATGGTCTTTGTTACCTACTGTTCAACACCTGTCAGAATGGCTCTCATCAAGAAAACAAGAGGTGTTGGTGAAGACATAGAGACTAGGGACTCATGCACTGTTGGTGGGAATGCAAACTGGTGCAGTCACTGCAGAAGACAGTATGAAGGTTCCTCAAAAAGTTAAAAATAGGGGTGCCTGGGTGGCTCAGTTGGTTGGGCATCTAACTCTTGATTTTGGCTCAGGTCATGATCTCAGGGTCATGAGACTGAGTCCTAGGTTGGGCTCCTCACTGAGCGTGGAGACTGCTTGGGATTCTCTCTCTCCCTCTCCCTCTGCCCCTCCCCCACATGCTCGTGCTCTCTCTCTTTCTAATAATAATTTTTAAAAAAGCTAAAAGTAGAACTACCATACGATCATCAACCCCACTTTGGGGTTATAGATCTAAAGGAAATGAAAACATGAAATTGAAGGGATGTCTGCATCCCCATGTTCACTGCAGCATTATTCACAGCAGCCAAGGCATGGAAATGACCTAAGTGTACATCCATGGACAGATGGTTACAGAAGATGTGGTCTGCATGTATAATGGGATATTATTCAGCTGGGAGGAAGAAGGAAATCCCACCATTTGTGACAACATGGATGGACCTTGAGGGTATTACACGAAGTGAAACAAGTCAGAGACAGAAAGATAAATACTGTATGAACTCATTTTTCTTAGGATCAGTTGGTCTAGATCTGAAAGGAAGGCCACCTGGGAACATATACCTCACCCTTCCAGGCAATACCAATCTTAGATTTTTGAGATTTCCTCCGGGGCACCAAGGAGAGGACTCATGGCCAACTGTAATGTCAGGGATGCATTTAGGCCATTCCCCAAGGAAAGACAGAAGCTTCTCCATGCAAAGGACTACATTCTCAGCAGCTAGATGTCCCTTATCATAGGGTAGGGATCTCCCCACCTCCTTCCCCTGCTCTCAGTTGACACGGATGGTTATGCTGTTGCATTAGGAGGGAATTTGGGAAATCATTATTTCTGAAATCATTATTTCAGAAATCTTTGCAAATGACTCTCTTTACATAAGACCAACTCCATTGGTCAACATGTATTTGTTGAACATCTGCCAAAGTCCACGCTGCATTCTAGGTAGTGAGGATGTATTCTCTGCCCTCAAGGGGCTTAAATTCTAGTGATTCCAGATCTCTTATGAACCCAAGAGCAACAGGAATAATAGGTGTCTTTAAAACCTAAGTGGTTTCTTTTCCTCCCAGCCAAATGGTTTTTGTCATTATTAAGATTTCTCTCACACTCAAGAAGCCATGGCACCCAGGGGAAGGGTGGGTCCTGTGCCCTCTACAATACTGACATGCTCAGGAGACACCCCGAGTGACACATTTAGGGTAACGGGGATGATCAGGAGCCAAGTGAGGTGTCCCTTATCCTCTCTTCACCATCAAATCTAGAGATGTCATCACAGGATACAACAGATGAATAAGGGGGATGGATAAAGGATGGGTGGTGGGGGAAATCATTAGGTTCTGAGGCAAAATGGCAAGGCCATCCAAAGTCCTGGAGCCATTGTGAGGAGGGAAGACCCTGGGACAGTGAAGTGGGACAATGTGAGAAATGACAGAGACTGTGGTAGACCCCCGAGGATGTCCATGTCTTCACTCCCAGGAGCTGTGTATATGTTCCTTTATGTGGCAAAGGAAATGCAAGGTGGCAGGAGGGATTAAAGTTGCTTATCAGTTGGCCTTAAAGTAGGGAGCTTCTTCTGGATTATCTGGGTGGTCACAGTGTGACCAACCACACGATCCCCAGGGTAGCAGAAGAGGCAGAAGAGGGTGTCAATGCACCAACCATTCCTAGTTTTAGAGCCAGAGGAAAAGGCCACTACCAAGGGGTGAGGCGCCTCTAGAAGCTGGAAAAGGCCAGGAAATGGGTTGTCATCTAGAGCCCCCAGAAGGAACACAGCCCCGAAGACACCCTGGTTTGAGCCAGTGGGACTTGTGTTGTTGGATTTTTCTAACCCATGGAACGGCAAGATAATAAATCTGTGTCATCACGAGCCACTAGACTTGTGACAATTTGTGACACCAGCAGCCCTAGGAAATTAACATAAGGGCACCCATGCCAGATGGGTTCTCCAGCAGGAGGCTGGGACCGCCACTGAGCGTGATGCCAGGGCTCAGCGGCAGCCCCTGGGGGGACCCCTTGGGATGGGGTTCCAGGCAGGTGCTCATGTCTCATGGATGGTTCTCTCGCAGGGCTGTGTGCCGGCCAAGGAGGCAGGACAACTGATGGTGAGTTCCTTCAGTCGGACCCTCCCTCCCCTTCACTCCAAAGTCCCCATGTCCCTTCTCTTTCCTTCAAGGGGTTTCCTGACAGCAGACGAAGGCACCAAATCCCGTCCCCAAATCTGCTTCCTTCCAGAGTCCCTTCCCAAGCCCTCCCTCAGGGCCTGGCCCAGCTCGGTGGTGCCTCCCAAGAGTAATGTGACACTGCAGTGCCAAACGTCTACCAAGAATGTCAACTTTGTTCTCAGGAAGGGAAAAGTTCTATTGCAGTCCGTGCAATCACAGGCTTCCACAGAGGGCCTGGCTGAATTTCACCTCACTGACCTAAAAACCGACAATGCTGGAGAGTACACCTGTGAGTACTACAGACTAGGGAGCCCGTACGTAAGTTCGCAGCCCAGTGATGTCCTCCTACTGCTGGTGACAGGTGAGGAGGCGCCTCGGAGGGACACGGGGTCTTGCAGGGACAGGTGTGGGGGAGGAACCCGAGGGAGGGAGGGAGGGAATGAAGGGAGATGGAGAAACACAGAACAGAATGACCTGGCTCAGCTTCATCCAGGGCTTGCTGGGGAAATCTTCCCACAGTCAGAGTGGAAAGAGGGTGAGACCAGGGATCTGTCATTTTCGCCCACTTGGTGGGAACCCCTGCCAGGAGAACAAGGGAGGGTGGGGGACCCCGGGCTTCTCCCCATGACCTTGGAGCCCTCCTTCTCTTCCAGGAGATTTAACAAAACCTTCCCTCCAAGCCCACCAAAGGGGGGAGGTGACCGCAGGAGACACTGTGACCCTGCAGTGCCAGAGGCCGGACAATATTTTCGTGCCTGTAATGTTCGCTCTACTGAAGGCGGGGGCAGCAGAGCCCATACGGGTCCAGAGTCCTGCAGGGAAGGAGACGGACTTCTCCCTCCGGACTGTGACAGTCAGTGATGCCGGGAACTACAGCTGTGTGTACTTCCAGACACGGATTCCTTTCTGGGCTTCACACCCTAGCGATCATCTTGAGATCCAGGTGACAGGTGAGGTTTGCACTGTCAGGGGGACCACAGCTGGATTACCTGCCTGCTGAGGTGCTGGGACCTGAGGGAGTGTGGTGCGGGCACAGTCTGTCTCCACAAGACTCTGCAGCTTGGAGCAATCATTTAGGAAGAACCAATGGAGGGCCAGGATTCTGTGGAACAGTGCAGAGGATCTTCTGCCAAGACAGGGAGCAGAGATGGTGGAGAATCACACGAAAGGAGGCTGGGTGGGGGCTTCCCACTGTAGGTGGCCAGATGTGCTCTGGGGGGGGCAGGCTTCAGGGAGGGGCGATTTGCAGTAATTGACCCCCACTAGGAAAATAAGATGTAGCCACAAAACCATCGCATATCTCCTGGGCAGGGCATAATTCATCTAGACTAAAGTGTGAATGACACCTCCTGGGGTTATGCAGGAGGAGGTTCCAGCAAAAAGGCGGAGGAGGGGGCAGAGAATAACAGAGCCCAGGAGCATCTTCCTGAGGAAGACTCAGAGACTGCAAGAAGATCTGTGTTCCATTTTCTTTTTTTTTTTTAATAATTTTTTATTGTTGTTAACCACCATACATTACATCATTAGTTTTTGATGCAGTCCATGATTCATTGCTTGTGCATAACACCCAGTGCTCCACGCAGAACGTGCCCTCTTTAATACCCATCACCAGGCTAACCCATCCCC